GTCCCGTCCCCCCCCCCGCCCAATAGCTAGCAATCCAAAACAGTCCAGTGGAGCCTGAGCGGTGGGTGTTGCCTTCTGACACACTTCCGGTGAGGTCAGGGGGTGTGGCATATGCAAATAAGTAATGCTAATGAGCTCCTGCACCTCTTTTTCTACCAAATGACCCCTGTGTGTGTGTGTGTGTGTGTGTGTGTGTGTGTGTGTGTGTGTATGGGAATCCAGTCAATTAATTTATGTGTAATGTTAATGTATATTGGAATGTGAAGGGACCCCTTTTGGCCTTCTGAATCTTGGGTTCTCCCAGTCCAGCACTTCCCCTCTTGTTTGCAGTGGGCAAAGACACTTATTTGTTTGATTGATTGATTGATTGATTGATTGATTTCCCACCAGGGCAGGCTCAGGGCGGCTTCCACAACATTCGACAAATAAAACAACGACGATAAATACAGCCATAAAAACAAGACCTAAAGTGCTAGTTATCAGCTTATACGGCGGTGGCGAGGTAGGAATAGCAGCAGACATGCTAAAAAAATGCAGCCAGCTGTTGTTATTACAGTTTGGCGAAGCGCAGGATATCGACGGTGGCATTGGTGGCATTGGGCACAGGGTCTTAGTTGTTGGATGCGGCTCCTTAATGAAAGGCCTGGCGGAAGAGCTCTGTCTTACAGGCCCCGCGGAACCATAAAAGGTCCCGCAGGGCCCTGGTATCTTCCGGGAACTTTCAGACACAGACTTTGGCAATTCAAGGCCCTTGCCTCCGTGCAGCCTGGGAATCCCAGCCCTTTGCCCAGCACCGTCACCTGAAATCACAGGGCAGAGTATTTATAGTGGATCACACCTTCTCTGCCTACCGTTAACTGTTCACGGAATCGTTTTTCTTTTTCTCCTTTGTGTCCCGTAGACGAGTTCAACCGAGTGATCATTCCAGTGAAGAGGGGCGAAGAGAACACAGATTACGTCAACGCTTCTTTTATAGACGTGAGTGGCTGCTTTCGCTCATCTTTCGTTTCTGGCGCGCTGTAAATTTATTATTTATTTTTGCATTTTGTTTTAGTGGTCTTGTATCCGGCCCGCACCGCAAGCAGGCTCAAAGCGGGTTCCAACCGTCTCAGTACAATATAGAACACAATTCACTGCACCGTAGTTCAAGCGTGCTTCTAGAACAGGGGTCCCCAACCTTTTCAAGCCTGGGCACTACTGGAATTGTGGCACAGCGTGGTGGGCAAAGCCACAAAAACAGCTGCCACGACTTACCTTCGGTCACACAGTGAAGACAATTGTGTTGGGGGCGGCAGCCGCTGCCAAAGCATATTTTTTTAAAAAAAAAATCTGCACAGCCAGTCAAATCTCCCAGTGGCCAATCAAAAGTCTAGTCCCGCCCACTTTCTAAAAGCACTCGGCAGGTACCAGGAAAGGTGCTGGTGGTTGCCATGGCACCCTCGGGCACTGTGCTGGAGACACCTGTTCTAGAAGCAAGGGCAAGAGGGTTGGACCAGGTGGCCTGCATGGCCCCTTCCAACTCTATGATTCTATGGTGACCAAGCGAGGCAAGTGAGAAGCAGAGGTGGTCTTCCATTGCCTTCCTCTGCAGAGTCTTCCTTGGTGGCCTCCCACCCAAGTACCGATACTTGGGTGGGAACCCAAGTATCGGTACTTGGGTGGGAGGCCACCAAGGAAGACTCTGAAGAGGAAGGCTTTGATTCCAAGCACTAATGGAATTGGGCTATACCATGCTCCTTCCCTTCCGCCTGTCTAATTAGGCAGGTGTCCGTCCGCCCGCCCCCCCCCAAAAAAAAATTATCTCCTTCCCCAGCTCACGTTAAACTTCTCTCGATTTGTGGCTGACTTTGCAGGAACTTTCTGTTCCCGTCTGGCTTCCGGTTCACCGTCCCGTCATACTGATTAATGACCCAGTAATACTGATTAATGACCCAGTAATGGCATTCCCAAATGGCTTTGGGAAGTGGTGCAAAGAGAGATTTTGAGCCGCTCTTTAAAGGTGTCACTAGGATGGAGATGCAGACCTATAGTTTAAGCATGTTTGCTTATTTGAAAAGGGAGCGAAACTGTAACCTTCTTGTATGTGGCTTCAGGTTGCATTATTATTAAGTCAAGCATCTACCTTCTTCCCGCCTGACCTCCTTTCGTGTCCATTTGCTTTTCAAAGAATCTTGGTCAAGCTCAGGACGGCTTGAAGTCTTTTTTACCTGGCAGTTCAGTTTCCTGTCTCCGTGGAACCCTACTCGGCTGATGCATTCCAAATGACTGAACTTCTTTTCATGTTAAATGAAGGAAGGAGGGAAAAGGCTGGGAAAGAGAACCTTTGATTTGCAGAAGCGAAACCTTTAGCGGAGCAACAAAGCAGTTGTTGTGCCCCACGAGAGGTGTCACGGCTCTGGTTCCAGGCTCCCTTGAGAAGGCCCAGAGTACCCTCCCAAGACCTTCAGACCTCCCTTTTGGCCGAATAATAGGCGTGAGGACCAATGCTCCCTTTAAGCTGTGGAGTCTTGTGAGCAAAATTTCTACTTTGTGAGCGACTGGCATTAAAGTTGTGAGCGACTGGCATTAAAGTTGTGAGCGAGTGATTTGGCTGCTGCATACATTAGTTTGCACTGGAGTTCTCCTTCCTGAGCTAAGACAAAAATCTGTGAGCCGGAGGCTAAAAACCTGTGAGCTAGCTCACACTAACTTAGCTTAGAGGGAACATTGGTGCGGACCAGGCAGAGTGAACAATGAGAATAGTTTATAGGAGGTCACACAACAAGGTGCAGAATAATAACAGTAAGTGGGTGAAAAGAAAAGAAATCGAATGCCCTAACGCGTCTAAATATATACTGTCCCTAGCTCACTACTCCAAGTGGCACTAGACTGCTCACCCTTCCCTCAGGATGAGAGTCTCTCCCCTGCAGCAGCCTTCCTTCTGGCTCTGCCCTCTGGAAGAAAGAACAGCCTTTGCTCTGGCACCAGCCCTTTTGTTCCCCAGCCCTCTTCTTCCCTATTGGTCAATTTTGGCTCCAAAACCTCTCAGGGGCTTCTGGGAGTTGTAGGCCCAGCCTCATCTACTGCTAGCCAGGCTCCCTGGGCCTAGTAGGCCGCTGGTGGCACAGCCCAGATCATGACAGGTTGGGTGTACAGGGAGAGCTGCTCATGTCAGAGCTCCCTCTTCAGTACTGTCAGCATCCTGGCTTCAGCTTCCTTATGCCGGCATTGCTTATGGGTTACTCCTTGGCAGTGAAGCTAATGCAGACCTTTACAACTTGGCAAGGGGGACAGGACTTCCCTGGACAAACTCCACTTTTAGACTGCCTTCCCTGATATGGCACTGGGGCAGGTGTGTACCCCCAAGTCACCAACGGGGAATGGAGAGAGTGAGTGGCAAGAAGATCCCTGTGGAGTGAGATGTCTTCCGGGCTGACCATCTATTACATGGGAGCAGACCATAGTACTGAAAGGCACATGAATACAACACGAAGCTGCCTGATGGAGAATCATGAGAGTTGGAAGGGAGCTCCAGGGCCATCTAGTCCAACCTCCAAAGCCATAGGGACACACGAGTGACAAAAATGAGAAAGCGGAAGAGCCCAATAAACAGAGAACCGGTGTGGTTTAGTGATTACGATGATGGACTCGGATCCGGGAGAACCAGTCTGACTGTTTGCCCTGGGGGGGGTCAGCAGGCATGCACCAAAATGCTGAAATTCTGCGCCAAGGAAGCCTAAATTCTGTGTGGTCAGAACTGTGCTTGATTTGTATCCTTGCAATATGTCCTCGCCGGGCTCCATATCAATGCCGTGAGGTGGAGAGACCCGGGGGAACAGTCCCGGAGACGCAAATGTCCCCAACCCACTCCCTCAGCGACAGCCGAGACGCCGAGGGAACTCAGGGGAGACGGAGCGATCCGGCACGGACAACGCTCCTTTGGCACAAAGGGGGAGGGCCCGAATGAAAGACAGAGGAGATTGGAGGGTCCCTGCCTTACCTCTCACCCTCGGAATGAAAGCGGCAACGGGCGACAGACACGGCGTCCGAGGCGGAAGTAGACACTCCCCTGAATGCACAACTCCACGGGGATTTGAAGGGAGGCGGGGCAAAACAGGGAAACCCTCAGGGATTGGGGGAACGCAGAGAGCAACAGATGGAAGAGCCTATGGGCTCTGATAGGTGGGTCTGCAAGGCCGGGGAGGAGGATAAAAGGAAGGAAACGGAAAGCGCCGGGGAGGAGTTCAGAGATAATTGCACAGGCAAGACAGAGAGAGAGAAAAGGGCGATTACTCTGAGAAAGGTGCCTGGAGTGTGAGGTAACACTCAGCCCTTTCACATCTGAGGTGCTTGTTTCCTTTCTTCATTATCTCCTCAACCCGGCGACAGGTTTTAAAGAGCCCGGGGGTAACCTACATTGTTAGCCGCCCTGAGCCCGCCGAAAGCGGGGAGGGTGGGATAGAAATATAATAAATAAATAAATAAATAAACCCTGAGCATGACACAATATCTGGGCTTGTGTATTTTGGCAAGGCTCAAACTGGCCAGTATTTGCCTGTCGTTTAAACAATTCTGAGTCCTCTTTTGTGGCTAGTCTAGCCTCGTCCCACCCAGAAGGATCGGGGCCCACGGAGAGGAAGTCGGGGAGGAGTGTCCCGCTTTGCCTTCTCTTCCCTCCTTCTCATTCCCCCCACCCGTTTCACTCCCTTCGCAGGAGAAATGCGCCCAGTACTGGCCTTCCGACGGCTCCGTGTCTTACGGGGACATCACTGTGGAGCTGAAGAAAGAGGAGGAGTGCGAGAGCTACACGGTGCGAGACCTGCTGGTGGCAAACACTAGGGTAGGTGTGCGGAGGGACCAGTGTTCCCCCTAAGCTGAGTTAGTGTGAGCGAGCTCACAGTTTTTTAGCCTCCAGCTCACACATTTTTGCCTTAGGAAGAATGGCTCAAGAGCAAACCGATTTACGCAGCAGCCAAATTGCTCGCTCACAACTTTAATGCCAGTAGCTCACAAAGTAAAAATTTTGCTCACAAGCCTCCATAGCTCAGAGGGAGCATTGGTGGATCCGGAGACCACGTGCAGATTGGCTTGCTGCTTTTGATCTTACTTTTTCCTGCCATCTTGACCTCTCCTTTCTCCAACCGGCTCCCTTTAGGGCCTCCTTTCCTGCCCATTTCTTCCACCAGGCCTTTACCCAGTTCCGTCTATCCCAAGGGCTTATGTTGATGCCACCCACCCACCCCTGCCGCACACACGCAGGTTCCTGATTCTAATCCTTGGAAAGAGAACCGTCTTCTACAGCTTCCTTCTAATTCCTTCCCCAGTCATTGCCTTGTCTGATCAGTCCCCCAACAAGGGCTTTCACGAGAGAGAGAGAGAGAGAGAGAGAGAGAGAGAGAGAGAGAGAGAGAGAGAGAGAGAGAGAGAGAGAGAGAGAGAGAGAGAGAGAGAGAATGAGAGAGAATGAGAGAGAGAGAGAGAGAGAGAATGTGAGAGAGAGAGAGAACCTTCTGGAAAGGAAGGTCAAAAATCAGCAAATACCGTGCTATATACAATTACAAAGTATCTCAAGTAATTTTTATATTTTTATTCATTTTTATATATAGTGTAGTGTGGTGTAGTGGTTAAGTGCGCGGACTCTAATCTGGGAGAACCAGGTTTGATTCCCCACTCCTCCACTTACACCTGGCTGGATGACCTTGGGCAAGCCATAGTTCTGCTAAGAGCTGTTCTTGAAAAAGAGCCGTTACTGTCAAGAGCTCTCTCAGCCCCCCCTACCTCACAGGGTGTCTGTGGTGGGGAGGGGAAGGGAAAGGAGTTTGTCAGCCGCTCTGAGATTCCCTTGGGTAGTGAAGGGCGGGGTATAAATCCAATCTCTTCTTCTTCTTCTTTTCCCTCACAGGGTGCCTGTTGTGTGGAGGGGAAGGGAAAAGGAGTTTGTAAGCCGCTCTGAGACTCCCTTGGATAGTGAAGGGTGGGGTATAAATCCAATCTCCTCTTCAGTCAAAAGTTCTCTCACAGCTGTTCTCTCAAGAGCCGTTTCAGTCAGAGCTCTCTCAGCCCCACCCACCTCACAGGGTGTCTGTTGTGGGGAGGGGAAGGGAAAGGAGTTTGTCAGCCGCTCTGAGACTCCCTTGGGTAGTGAAGGGCAGGATATAAATCCAATCTCATCTCTTCTCTTCTTCTTTTATTCTTTAATTTTTTCTTATAAATTATTCACCATTATATTAATTATCACATAAACATTATCACGTAGAAAGAATCATATATCCAATTTTTTTTTGGTATCGTCTTTTTATATCACAAAAGATATTGCACAACCCCTTTATTAATACCAGTCCTCCTTAACAGCACAAACGTTTTAAGGAGGAGGACTCCTTTAAGCCTATTCTGAATGAGTGCTCAGTCTTCCTCCAACAGAGGTCCAAATATCCTCCTGTTTCAGTGTCTTCCCCAGGGAGTGCAACAGATATTACCAAGCACAAGGTTGCCAAACACCAAGATATTTATCCAAATTTCACCAACGAACGCTGCAAACAGTCTCTCCTAGTGAGCGCAAGGGTTTTCCCCCAAAGTGAAAATCACGTTCGTGGTGTGTTTTGTGGAAAGGAAGGCCAAGCACTTGACTAAAAAGAAAGGAGATGGCTACTAACAGCCTGTGTCTTGGCTCACGACACCGGCTGTCCCTCCCCTTAAATCAGGGGTCCCCAACATGGTGCCCGTTGACACCTTCCTGGTGCCCAAGTGTCTTTAGAAAGTGGGCAGATCCAGGTAAGAACATAAGAACATAAGAGATGCCAATGTTGGATCAGGCCAATGGCCCATCCAGTCCAACACTCTGTGTCACTCAGTGGCCAGAAATACCAGGTGCCATCAGGAGGTCCAGCAGTGGGGCCAGGACATTAGAAGCCCTCCCACTGTTGACCCCCCCAAGCACCAAGATGACAGAGCATCACTTGCCCCAGAGTCCCTATCTGTACCTTGTGGCTAATAGCCACTGATGGACCTCTGCTCCATATGCTTATCTAATTCCCTCTTGAAGCCGTCCGTGTTTGTAGCTGCCACCACTTCCTGTGGCAGTGAATTCCGTGTGTTAATCACTCTTTGGGTGAAGAAGGACTTCCTCTTATCCGTTCTAACCCGACCGCTCAGCAATTTCATGGAGTGTCCACGAGTTCTTGTATTGTGAGAAAGGGAGAAAAGGACCTCTTTCTCTACCTGCTCTTTCCCATGCTAGGTTAGATAGTCTGCAGATTTTTAAAAACCTTTGCTTTGGCACCAGCCGCCACCACAGCATCTTCACTGTGTGACTGAAGGTCAGCCGCAGCAGCGGTGTCGTGGCTGGCTCCGTCTCCCGCAGCCGTTGTGTCGTGGCAGCCGTTTTGTAACTAGCTCCGCCCCCCCCGGTGGCAGCCGTTTTCGGGGCAGCCGTTCCGTTTCCGCACCCGCCATGCCGTGTCAGCATTCCAAAGGTTCCCGCAGGCTCCAAAAGTTGGGGGTCCCCTTCTCTTAAATTCTAGTAAGTGTTTCTGAGGCGTCTCCCTGGATTCAGCGGGACGCTTTCCTGAGTCTCCTTCCCTTTTGCTTGGCCAGGAAAACAAGATCCGGCAGATCCGGCAGTTCCATTTCCACGGCTGGCCGGAGGTCGGCATCCCCTCCGACGGGAAAGGAATGATCAACATCATCGCGGCCGTGCAGAAGCAGCAGCAGCAGTCAGGAAACCATCCCATCACCGTGCACTGCAGGTAATCGAGCGGCTCCGGCACACCACCCGGCCCCCCGGGCTCTT